AGGGGGGAGAGAGGGTGGGGTGGGGGGGGGGGGGGGGGGGGGTCAGCATTCGAGAGGCCATTGTCTATTCATTACATTTTAACCTGTTAGGGGCAGGAAACTTATAAACGGATATGAGCTTGGAGCCATTACTGCCTTCTAGCGGCTTTGGCTCCCAAATGCACCCCTCCACGCACTTTTAATATACAGTGAAATGTTAGGAAACATGTATAGTAAAACTAAATATAAATAAGATATGTAAAAAAAAAATAATAATCTGGTGGTTTAAACTCGATATGGGGCTGATCATAATATGACACAAGTACTTGATATGAATAGGTAGCTTATAGTAACTACAGTGACATACAGAGAAGCATTTATTTTTTATGTACTTTAATTAATTAATACATTTTCGGGTGTAGGATTAAAAAAGATCAATTAAGTATCATATCATAAAACTCAACAGAGGGTACCATTTCACATTATTTATTCAGTTACTGTTGAACTACACTGCTACAACCTTAACAGTCCACAAGATGGCAGCCTCAAGCGCAAAACGTGTATAATAACTGAGGTTAGATACTGCTAGTGTGTATCCTACAACTCAAAACAGCCAACGGACACAAGTACAAAAGAACATTAAGACACAGGTAACATCATTTTTGACAGCCAGGAGCCTCGGGAAGCTCAGATCGGAGAGGAAAAAAAAAAACCTCAAAATGAATACACCCTGATGATTTGATCACGTTTTTTAAAGCAATTACCAACTTTTTTTTTCTCTTCAATAGTGATACTTAAGTCAAGCAAAACAACGAGAAACAGAGTCACGGGGGGGCGGGGGGGGACTTCTACATATTTTTCATATCAATCAAAAGTTTTATAAGTAGATTGACAAATAAATAGATTGGCATTTTATATATTTAATTTCACTTTGTTTTATTTCGTTTTGTGCACGTAACATAATGACTTCGCACACCAAGCAGTGCCTTTTTCTAATGGTCAAAAAGTCTTTCATCTTAGATACAAAATCTATTATTATTTACTAATACTAAATGATCTTTACTAAAATACAACTAAAAGTCACAGACTACATATGCATATTATTACATGTAGTTGAAGTCACAAATAGAAGATTTGCTCATTGAACATTTCTAGTGCTATTTTTAAAAGCCTTGTGTGATGTTTATGTTTAAAAAGTTACTAAGCTGTTAAGTTGCCTGTAAGAACTTCTAGACCAGGCGTGGGCAAACTTTTTGAGTCGCGGGCCACAATTGTCCTAAAATTGAACAGTGGGGGGGGGTCCAGATAGATGGAGTGTTCGTGTGAACTGAGATAAATGACATGTAAAAGTCATGCATAAAGGCTAAAATGCAAAAATACTTTTTAGGCCATCTATGGGGGAAACGTGGGTATTGCAGGGAAAAGGCAGAAGTCTAATGATAATATAAATAAATGATATCATTTGGAAAAGGTTTGGTGATGCAGATGGAAAAGCTGAACGGGTCTCATCCAGCCCCCGGGCCTTAGTTTGCCGATGCCTGTTCTAGCATGTTTACAATCAAAAGGAAAGTTTTATCTTTTGCCAGGGTTTTTTTTTTCTTTGGCCCAGAGTCAATGTCTCTGTCATTGGTGTGGAACCCCAGGGTTCACCTCCTGGACAAGTTCGAATCCCAGTTAGGGTGGTTGGTACCTTCCAGTGGACTCACCACCTGCAGGAAGGTTCAGGGGGGTTGGTACGGTGCAATGTGATTTGGGTGGCGACTGCTGCCCCCGTGACCCGGTAACGGATAAGTGGATGAAAATGGATGGATGGATGGATGGATGGTATTTATAGACCATTAAAAACAACTACAGTCAGAAAAAAATGCTAAAACTATATAGTGGCAATGAAACATAACAGTTCCCCCACAGATATTTTCACTAAAGGTTGTGTCTTTTTAAACTGGCCTGTGTTGCTGCACTTTTTTTTCACCCACCCCCCCTTCTAAAACATAACCCCTCTCCTTCCAGTCTAACCCTGACTTCCTGTTGTATTTCTGGGGAAGGCTAAGATAGAGCGTGAGAACGCTTTCTATGGTGGGTTCAGTGACCCGCTGTTACTTTGCGGCAACACACACACACACACAGACGCCCCCTTTCTTTTAGTCATAGAAAAAAAAAAGACTGGGTTTTGTAATCCATTTTTGGAAATATCTAAACATCTGATGTGTCCCTTATCGCTCTCAATTAAACTGTTTTTACTTCAGAGGGAAATTAAAACTGTTGTAGTTAGTAGTCTCCTTGTATGTATATGTATAAAACCAAAAGACAAATGAGCAAAATAGGGTGGGGTGATTAATGGCAAATTAATCAGTAATGTCAGCAATGTGAAATTTAATGATTCTGGCCTCAGAGAACAGAGCAACAACAAGTAAATTCAAGATCCTAAAGTTGCTCAATCTGGTTTTAATAATTTTAGGACATCAGTTGTTTTTGTGCAATGCATTTTATTTTATTTTTTTTTTTTTTTTGTCATTTCCCAAAAAAAAGTTTTTTTTTTTTATTTACCGTACATGACCCCATGTTAATTTGCACATAGTCCCACTGTCAAACAAGCAACATTAAATATTGCGCGCATACCTCAGTTCAACTCAACG